CGAGGTAGAAAGAGCTTTGCTGTGTTGCAGGATTTACTGTCATTTAATGAATTGAGGTTGACTTTTGTTCAATGTGGGTGATGGGGCAAACTGCCCATCTTGTACCCTCTGACCACCCTGCACTCAGATTTCCTGATGTCCAACTACCATCCCAAGCCTTTTTGTTCCCAATCTTACCATGCAAGTCCTATATGTAACAGCTTGTTCTGTTCTTGTTCAGAAAGGTCAGTCCCCAAAGATTGTCTCTCACCTGGCAAGAGCCCCAGACTGCCTCCCAGCCACCAGCCAGACTCCATGGACACTGGTCTTTCTACTCGCCATGTTGTTGTCTAGCCCTTAAAGTTCTTCTTCAACTGCTTTTGCAGGGCAGAACACTCATTTCTTGAATCTTGCATCTCACTTTCCACCCTTTCCAGTGCAGGCTTCACTTCTCTGCTAGACGTATGATGGTACATGAGTGGTGATGAGGTAGGGAGGATCAAGATGGGTTCATGACCCATTCTGCGTCTCATGGTTTCCTGGTTTTTCCTTCCACTTTCTGTCATAGATATCATGGAGGCTTTTTTCAGTTTTTCCCCCACAAAATACCATTTCAAGTAGAAAAAGACCCTTATTGCCCTTACCAAAAAAATTGTCCCAGTGATACCTTAAATGCAGGATCAGCTTCCGCCAGCACGTTGTCGTTTTCCTCCTGCAGAAGCAACCAGACAACATCTGTAAGATGCTAGAGAGCCACTTCCAGCACAACTGATGGTCTGTTTCCCCTTCATCAGCGTTTTGGTATTTTGCTGGGTCTGGAAGGGCTCTCGGTCGAGTGCTGCCACTTAGCAATCGTTCCTCTTTGTTGCTATTGGAAGTAACCGCAGATTCCTTTGTTTCCTCAGCAAAGGGCTGGTGGGTGGAAAGGAGTCGCTGCCCGGCTGAAGGCGGCAGCTAATGAGCATGTCAGCACCTTTCCTAATTCCTCGCTTGCTTCCCGTGGTCGCTGAGGCGTGCAGTCCATTCCTCGGAGCAGTGAGATTATGCGCTGACTCATAAAGATTAATTAAAACCCAAATTGCCATTTTTAGCTGTGTGATGACAGGGAAGCCCTCACAGCAATGAATCTTCTAAGAAGATGGACCTAAAGGGAACTGCTGCTCTTGAATCCACCCGGTAGCGCTGCTGCCATTGTCTTCCTTCATTCCCTCCAGAAGCTGCGCGGTGGCCCGCACCCGGACGCTGCCAGCACGTAACAAATGTCACAGCCCTTCACCATTAATTAAAACTCTCACAGAAGCTGTCCTCTGAAGCTGGCTGCAAAAGTCCACCTATGCACCCTATTTTTCGTTTTCTTCAGGGCTTCCCAGGTGACATTGGCCCTCCAGGAGAAAATGGTCCTGAAGGCCTGAAGGTGAGTGGAGCAGAGATTGAAGCTCTGTGTGGGGTGGGAAGCAGCCAGGCAAAACAAAGTAGTGGGAAGGGGGGAGAGAGAAAGCCCTGGAGATTCCTAAAGATTGTCCTGGCCAGCATTTCAGCTTGGTCTGTTTGGCTTGAGGTCCCTCCAAGTGCAGGGTTTTCTTTTTTCAGGTTTTTTTTCTGTAACAAAATTGACATTGGATGATGTCCTGTGACTGTGAAAGAGACTTTCTCATTTTACTTGCCTTTCTGAGCTTATGTTTCTATTTTCTGAGTATCTTTTCCTTCGGCTCCTCCTCAGGGAAAGCCAGGAGCACGAGGTTTACCTGGGCCGAGAGGACTGCCTGGACAGGAGGTGAGTGTCCTCAGACCAAAAGCAGATTGGATCTAAAGAATAATGTTGAATTTTGAAGATTTATGCATGCTGAAATGGTGCCTGCGACTTGAAATCCTCCAGTCCCTCTGAAACTGGAAGCAGATGCTTCGATTCAATGATCAGAGACCCACAGACGAGGAACTTCCCCTCAGTTGCAGTCCTGTGATCTTTGCCTGCAGTCACTGCTGGCATCTGCTGACCCTAAACTCTGCATTGGCTTTTCTTTTAAAGTCTGTTCCCCACACCCACACACACCCAGAACGGGTGTTTAATGCCCTTCTCCCTGCACATCCCCTTGCACAGGCATGCCCTGACCTGGCTTTTGCTTTCTGCTCCTTTTAAGTGTGTTTTCTTTCAACTGTGAGACCTGCAGACTCCACTCTCTCACACGGAGCAATATCCTTTTGTAAAAAGAGTACATAAGTTGAAATTGCTGTTCTGCAAAGAGTCATTTGCCCCAGCATCTCAGAGCTTGTGGCTTTTGGCTTTTGCTTGTCGCTTCATGTGAAAACTTGAAGCTTCATTCCACTTGCAGTCTCTAGAAGGAGACAATTGTCATTGATTTAATTGTCCTGGAGCTGCAGATACTTTATAGCAGCAGCAGAGAAGGCTCGAGTGCCCTCTGTTTATCCTTTTGTAATTCCAGTGACTTCAATGTAGTTTCTTCTCATTTAGGCCAGCGTAAGCTGTTTGTCCGGAGTCATGAGACATTGTGCAAATAATACGCAGTGCATGCATGGGCAGGAGCTCAGTCTAATAGCGCTAATAATTCTTAACTTTTTCTGGGAACCCTTTTGCTTGCTCTCTAAATGGGATTAATGCAAATTAGCTCATTTATTTGCACTGAAATAGGAAAAAAAAATATTCTAGGCAATTTACAAAGGGAATCGAAGCCCTGCATTCCAGGTTCAGGCAGGCATGACCAAGCTGCCTTCAATTTACCCTAGTTAGTGAGTGAGTAAGAGTAAGACTGAAGACATGGACATGGAGTTCGACATAAGCTGCACTGAAGGACTTTGAATGTGCACCTCACCACTGTGCCTTTACTGCTGCTGTTACCCAAGGCAGTAGGTCAAGGCTGTGGATTACATCTTCTTTAAAAATGTGGCACGTAGTGGGTGGTTTGTCCGAGCCCATTGAGCTGGGTTCCTGAGTTCCAGTCCCATCTTCAGCCGGCCAGCTCGTGCCACTTCATTACCACGGCTGACCACCTAAATGAGAGCAGCCAGAACTGTGGCTGCCAAGGGCGCTTTTAATTTCTCTCTTGGCAGTTGGTTTTAGACACTTGAGATAATTTTTGTGAAGCTTAATTGAAGGTCTCCTAGAAACTGTAGATATGATCCTATCACGTTAGAAATTGGTGTAGAGCCAAGGGAGAGGACCGAGTCCAATTGCTGTGTGAGATTTTGAGATAACTCCATCTTGCAGCATTTGTAGTCCCATCTGAAAGCAAAAGGGAAACCTTCATACGGTTGCCAAATGGCTCTGTGGGAAATTTTGCAACACCCGTTTTTGTGGGGCAAGGAAAGAAAGAAGGAAGGAAAGAAAGAAGGAAGGAAGGAAAGAAGGAAGGAAGGAAGGCAGGAAAGAAGGAAGGAAGAAAAAGAAAGCAAGCAAGCAAGCAGAGAGCTCTACAGCATTCGTATCCCTGCCAAATCAAATGAAGCAGAGTCATGTGAGCATGTCCAGGGTACCCTATGGGCCAAATCCAGCCCATGATAGGCCCGATCAACTGGTGTTGACTTTGGTCAAATTTTGGATGGCCTTTACTGGCAGGACTTGACTTTAGATTTTTTTTTTTTTCCTGAGATGGGGAAGGGAGATGAGAAATCTCAGAGATGCTGAGTTGCCTGCTGTAAGATTCAGAAGGACTCAGTTGTTAAAATGTGACAGCTGAGCACACAGCCTGTGTTTATTGGCTGCTCATGCTGCAGACCTTTCATTCTTGCTGCATGGTGAGTCCAGATTTTGTCACTATTTTGCCTTTTACTTTCATTTGTTTTCACCTCAGGGAGATGAAGGACCCTTAGGACCACCAGGAGTCCCTGGTCCAGAGGTAGGTCTCGGTCATTTACTACCAGCTCTGTTGACCTTGCAATGGAATTGTAGTTAAATTAACATAAATCTTCAAACCTCCTGGTTTGGAAAGTGATTTGCCTTTCTAAGAAATGTTGTATTGTCCAGAGCTTGGTCCAACTGCTTGATCCAGGATGGCTGAAAGTCAAGGAAGTGTCTTGCACAGGGTGTTGAGTTAGAAAATTAGAGAGGGACTCTAATTTTATAACTTGCTTAGTCTTAGACCTTGAAAAACCCTCTAATGTTTAAATAGTTCATCCTCAAGATAAAGCATGTTGACTGGAAACCATCTCTGTAACCAGCTCTGATGTTTCTTCCTTAATTTACAGTATTTTTTAATGAGTAGAGGGAAAAGCAAGAAAAAAGACTGGACAGTGAAGCAGAGTCCTTTTTGACCTCTGCATCAATCTGAACACAGTAATGTATCACAGAAACACAGTTAGAAGAAGCAAAAAGAATACTATCTGTGAGCTTGCCCTCTCAGGACTTTTTAATGTTTATGGACATAATTGTCATTGCAGGATAGTAAAATATCTTGGAAATTTGTAACTGTGCTGGAGCTTCTAGGTGGATCAGAAAATAAAAGTTTTACCTTGCATTTCCTCCCCTTCAATTCCTTTTTGGAACAACATAATAAATCCAGTTACTCCAGTGCTTGGGACAGCACCATGAGTGTTCTTCTAGACAAAGGGAAGACTCAACATGAACCTTATGGTCTGCAGGTTTATTTCTGCTTTTCTGAGCTCTAGCTGTGAATGTCAGCCTGGCTTCCCCCACTGTAGGGACAGTTGTACTCCTCAACGTCCTTTCTGGATGCCAGGGATGGAGCCCATGAGAAGTTTACATGGCCGAGTCCCTGCCAACACTAGGCTAGTACCATCTTTGAATGCTCAGGCTGCTGGTGTCCTTGCTGGCATTGCTACAAGAAAAGTGCTGGAAGTAGAATAAATCCATCTGAATGCGGCAGACAATAAACTAAAGGGCATCAACAAAGCCCTTGCCTTGTTTGATTGTAGTCTATGCATAATGTTTCTGATGTGATGATCAATTAATGGAATTGAGCTGGAGTGTCAGAAATGAGCTGAAACTTGGAGTAGCTCTCTAGGCATGTTCCCCATGGATCAAACCTGGTGTGGCTCAAAACACAGAGCTTTCCTCTTGTGTTGCCTCGGCCTCAGTAGGGACTGCTACACCTCTAGCACCCTGACTTCACCGGGAACGTTGCTCGTAAGCTGCACCATATAGGTTCACAGACACACTGCTGCGACCAAGGGCAGTTGCAAGCTTTTTGTGTTTATTGTTCTTCCATGTATTTCAGGGTCGATCCGGCCGGAAGGGATTTCCGGGAAGACCTGGTGCCGATGGTCCAAAGGTGAGGAAAGAGTTTGTTCATGATCAGAGAAGCAGTGGATGGAAGGGAGAAAAAGGAGAGGGAAACATCTTTTCTCAACTTTACTATGCTCCATTCATTCCAGAGAGGACAGAGGGAACTGAGGATTTCTCTTTTTCTCTGAGTTTTGGGGTCTCTGCTTCTGCTTGTTTTTTTTTCAGCAAAAAGAACGATGGTGCATTATTTTAAGCCATGTGCTTTATTATAAACAAGTGTGTTCCTCCTTTCATATTAACCAACCCCCTCTCCACCATCTCATCTTATTTTCCATTGCTTCTCCACGTTTTTGTTCTAAAACAATGCACATCATTCCTATCTTTGCTGCCTAATTAGCAGCAGGAGCCATCCCAGGGCAGTCCCACACTCAAAAGGAAAGAGAAAACCCAACAAAAACAACCTCTTCAAACAGTAAATAGCAAAAATGTGGTCTGGCAGCACATCTGGAGTATCTGCCTACTGAGAAAATACAGCTGCCGTCACCCGGAGACAATACTGGTTAGCGGTGAGTCTGGCCACTGGATGGCCTGTCCAGGGCCACTCAGCTGGCCTTCGAGCACTGCCACAGCTGCCCTTATCCCTGGTGGGCTTGAAATTCTCCTCCTCCTCCTGCTTTTCTCTTCACCTCTCTTTTTTTTCATTCTCTGAATTTCTCCCGTCCTGCACTGTGGTTTAGCTCGTGTGGGTTCTTTCTGTGGTTTTCATGTGGATGCTCCATGTGACAGCAACGTGCCCATGCTTGCGATTCTGCAAGAGCAGAATCAGGGTGCAGCACTGCCTGGGGATATTTGGGTTGTCTTTTATTCTTGGGACACTTCCACTAGCAGGTGAATTTTCATAGATCCCTTCTCCTCTGTCATTCAGGACCTACACCTCCCCATGGTATTTGCACTCTTGCTTTCCCTAGATGCCCCTCAAATCCTTTGGTTAATCGGGGTCCTTTCCTACTCTTTTCCTGCTGCCAATGTGTTTCTGTCTTCGTCTGTCTGTTTTACTTAGTCTTTCAGATTGAAATGTTATGGGTCAGAAACACCTCAACTACAGGAGCATCTGTGATGAGAATTCATGCCTTATTAAACGTGGGGATAAAGCAACCAGGACTAGGCTATGCCACAGGAAAGCAGGCAGCTTATGTTTCAATGTCTGAGTTTGGTTTTGTGAAGGTTATTTTACCTCAGCAAGACCAGCTGGTTGGGGGCATTTCACTCCAGAACAGCAAGTGTTTGCTCCATGTTTGTGCCAGCTGTGTTTCTTGCTTATCTTTCAAGTCACAGTGGGTTTTGTAAGATGTTGTTCCTTGCAGTTTTTCCACGATTCACACGCAGCAACCCAAATCATGGGTGTACGAAGAATCATGCTGCACTGAGGGTCTGACTGGGAGCACCAGTTAACCTGTGTGCCTTGTCTCTCCTTGTCCTGCAGGGTGAGCCAGGAAACCGTGGCCGACCAGGGAAAGTTGGTGAGCAGGTAAACTCCTTGTTTTCCTTCTCTGTTTGATGATCTCTCGTGCACCATGTCTCCTGGATGACCAGGGTGCAGGCAGAGGACGGTGGTCAGGGGCTTCTGGCCACTTCAAACCTGTCCATAGTCCTGATGCTCCAGCTGGGGTGCTCTTAGTCTGGCTGAAGCTCTTGGTGAACAGCACTGACAGTAACCACGATGTCTATTTGAAACTGGAGGTTTTCCCATAAGCTGAATGTTCTGATAAACTCACAGTTCAGGTGGATTTTCTGTCTGTGCTGGCAGCAGTACAGCACATGACACTGCTATGCTTCTCAGGGAGGCAAAGCCATGGTCAGGAAAGGGATTATGAATTTCTGTGTCTTATCCCCAAAAGGGCAATTTCCAGGCTTTGTCTGTGTAGATTTTAAAGGTAGGACCCTCTGCTTTGGAGTGCTGTGCTCCTTTGATTCCTACTGGATTTTTTCTGGGGAGCAAAAGAGCTGCTGAAGAAACCAGAACCTGGGGGAGAGAGATACTGAGCTGCATTTCATTGTACCACAGGAGAGAACGTTCTGCTGGAGTAGCAGGGGACAGGCATCACCCCTGTAGGCTTCAGGGGAACCACAGGCATCAAGGAAAAAGAAACAATTGTTCCCATGTCTCTGTGATTGAAACCAACCAACTTGTCCACCACCAACCCTGAAATTGCAGCCATGGAGCCTCCAACATGTTCTGTGCGTTCCGACACGACCACACCAAGCTGGCTGCAGCAGCTAGCCCTGGCAAAGAGGGTGATGCTGCTCAGCACAGCTGTCCTTCCCAGCACTTTCCCTGCTGGATGGTCAACAAGTCTGGTTTAGTTTGATTTAGCTTGTCAGTGTCTCTGGCTCTTCTTTCTTTCTGGCCAAGCGAGTCCAAAAAGCCAAGGTGGACTTTTTTCAGTACCAGCAATCTGATGAGTCTCAGTGTATATCAAGGATAATTATTTCTGTTTGGAAATTAGAGCCGTTTCTAAATTATGGCTAATATTTTACACCGTGAAGAGCAACAACTGAAGAAGCAAAGTTGTTCCACACATTTGAGTTCTAGTTGCAGCTTTATCAGATTCTGCATGTTCTCAGGCAACACCTTCCAGTGCTCTGTGCCTCAGTTTCCCCTTCTGTGGAAGGTGTGAGACAGCTCTGAACAGTGCTTAGCACAATGCCTCCTGTTCTCAGGTGACACTTACAGATACTGTTGTATTACAGTTAAAAATGAATATTTGGAAGTACTTTGAGATGCTTAACAAGATGTTGTCCTTGAAGGACAAAGCATCATTAGGATTATTATTCTTTAACGTCCCTCGGGACTGACCTTGCATGAAAACTGTAGGCACTGTTCACCAAAAAGAAAACACAGCTGGCCTCCGCTGACACTGAAACCAGCACAGTGGTATAAAAGCTGCTTGTATTATTCTTAGTCAATTAGTCTCTGTCTAGAAATATCACCCAGAAAGAATTTCCATTTCCATACCAGTCAATTCATTAGAACAAAAACGTCACACCAGATTAGTGAGAAATAACCTCCTTTCCCATCACACCTTTGCTGAACAATGCTGGAGCGTTGGGTTTTCGTTCCTCCCTCCACCTAAGCTTCAGCATTTGGTGTCGGGGCTGGGTTGGTTTTTTGCAGAGCTCTGAGAGGTCGAGCTACCAAGGTCACTTGGCACTAAAAGACACCTTCACTTCACCCATTTTCTCTTGTGGAGGCCTTGATGCTTTCTACTGCATAAGCACAATAGGAGTGGTTAAACTTTTCAAACTTGCTGCTCTGCCCTCCGTATGGGTTCCCTCTGAGTGGAAACCCTCAGCATAACAGCATGAGAAAAGATCAGCCATCCATCTCATTGGAGCTCTCTTCCCTTTCTTAGGGACATCTGTTTAGGCAAACACGGGAGTTTTTGTAAGGTTTCCAGCGACACTTGAGCTCTCATTGGAAAAATGAGGTTTTAAGCCACAGGGCAGTCCCTGATGCGTTGTTTTTCCATTGCAAGGACACTGACTCGGGAAGTTCATTCATAAGATGCTTGTTGTCTTCATATGTTGGAAGGAATCCAGCTGCTGGTCTCCCCTGTACCCTGGAAATGTGTGATTTAACCCTTCCTTGCCAGTAGATGGAGGCAGAAGAATATGAAGAAGAATATGGGGCCTCCGGCCCAGGCCACCAGCCTTCCTGTTCCAGACCTGGGAATGCAGAGCAAGAGGATGTCACCGAAATGTTCACGTTGAAGGTCACAGCCCTGTGTGAGAAGCAACACTCTGCAGCAGACAGAATAGCAAACTGGGGAAAGGTGCCGCAAGCCCGCGGACCCCCAACTGCTCTGCGCGAGAGACTGAGAATATCAGTGAAGACCTGCGCCAGCTGAAAGAGCCTATGGTTGACGTACGTCCTTAATGGGAATGAGGAGGTCCTGTCACAGCAGCAACAGCTTTTTGAATCTCTCCTCCTGTACAGGATGTGACAGCCCTGCTCATTCGCATGGCGGTGTTAGAGTCAGCCGCGCACCCCTTGCACCGAGCTGGGAAGGGCAGTCGCCGCACGACCCCCTGGGGATAGCTCTTCCCTCGAGAGAGAAGCGTGTTGTCCCAATATCAGACATTATTCTAAAATAATCTGTCGAAGGAAACCAGCGCCATTGGCTGCCTCCCTAAGGTGTTTTCCTTGCCGTGCTCTTACTAAGGAGGCGTGTGCTGTAATGTCCGTTTTGCAGGTGGGCTCTGACACGTGCAGGTACGGATTGGCTTGACCGAGGTCAGAGGGGTCGCTGAGAAGCCAGCAGGGAATTGCGCTGGCGTTTCCCACATCTCGGAGCAGCGCCTTTCCCAACGCATCTACCTTCCCCTCCCGAGCGTCTCTTTCTGAGCTGCAGAGCTCTCGCTCGGGGGTGCGCGGGCACTGTGGCGTACGCAGCCTCTTTGACCTGACGAGGCCTTTCGTCAGCGTGTCCCCAGCTTTCCTTCCCTCGCTCCCAGCGGGCACCGGGAACCCAACGTGGCCCCAGGGTACGGCCGAGCTCCGGTAAACAGGGGGTTAAACCACACGGCTTTTCTTTGCGGGTCAGAGCGTCCTCCCTTAAACTGTGATATTTACTGTTTTACTTTCCCTTTCTTTCATCTGAATGGGAGGATTGTACATTTACTCCCTCCCGTCCTTTGTCCCTGGTTTGTTTTGTTTTCAGTTCTAGCGAACCAGTAAAACAGAAAGGCCATGATCGGTTCCTGCTGGGAGCGACTGGCGGTCCCGTCCCTGGGAGACCCTGCTCACGCTGGGCTCGCCTTTCGGTTGTTTCTCTCAAATGGGCTATGATTTATGCAAGGCTTCATTGCTGACTTGCTCTCTGTTGATGCAGCCAAGAGGGGGGGCTTAATTATGACAGGGCTGGACAATAAATGGGGAAAGCCAGACAGGAGTTAGGAATTACAACCCGCCAGTCCTCCCCCTTTCCTTCCCCCCAAGCCCCCAGCAACTTTTTAACAATCTCCATCCCTTTTCCGCCATGCCCTTGGCTGGGGAATACAGCAGACTGAATCATGAGCGACATGCTGAACTCCTCGTCTAATATAAATGTTTTACATTCTTTCCTGTATACTGTGGGCCTTTATCCGGGCAGCCACCGCTGCTGGGACTTCACGTGCATCATTACACACACTGCCTGGAGTCGTGTTTGATGCGGGGCTTCTTTTCAGCCCTGGGAACCTGGGGAAAACATGTTGTGCACACTAAAATGGCCACGATTCACGTCTGCTTTGATTTAATGTTTGCCACCGGTGGCTATTCTGGTTCTTAAAACCTAAATCTTTTGCTTCTTGTGTTCTTTTTTAGTGTCTGTCCCATTTTGGGCCGTGCAAAATATCATTATCCAAGCTCCCCCAGTTGTTTCATATACCCCCAATCGTTTACCGATATTTATTTTGCCTAAACATATCTTTCATTTCATGTCTGCTTGCAGATACAGCACCATTAGTTACTTTAGCCCGGAGAAGATGGTACTGGCCATAAATGCTACAGAGCTACTGTGCCGGAAGCCTGGGGGTCACAGGGTCCCTGCTCTGCCATCTCCCTTCGGTCCCCACTCTGCCACGGTCACGCCGTGGGATGCTCCTCTTGCTGGGGACACAGGGAGCAGTGACATCATCCCTTGAGCAGAAACATGATGTACCAGCGCAGACAGAATTTTCCCCAGTTTTGGAGTGAAAACCAGGCCAGAAATTTTGGCTGTGCTCCCCCTCCACCCTGACGTTTACCCTACCCCGCTCGCCTTGGCAGTGCCGGCAGGTTTCTGCACAAGCTGCGATGACAAACAGCGCGTCTGTGACAGTGAGAGGGGTCTTGGGAAGGCGTTGGGTGTGGGGGCTGCTTGCACGCCGCGGTCGGTGTGCTGCAAACCACCCGTAGAGAACCACCAGCTTGGCTGCGAAGCACAACCAGTATATCTCACTTCATGACCCAGGTTCCTTAGAGACTTAGAGCCTGTGCTGTGGACGGTGTATCACAAGTATTAGGCTTCAAGTCTGAGCTTGGAGATGCAACGCGGCTCAGAAGTGTCAGCAGGGACAGACCTAAGTAACTCAGAAATACCTTAGAGAGAGCATCGTCCCAGGGAGAGAGTGAGTTCTGCAGGTTTTCCGATAAACTGGAAATGAAGGAACAGATTTATTCTTGCTTTATTATCTTGTTTTTGCCTAGGAACGCATTGCCTTGTTTCATCTCATTGTTGTGCCATTCTCTCCTCCACTTTAACATTTGCGCCTTCATGGCCTTGGGCTACTGGAGAATTCAGTAACTGGATACAGTTATCAGCTGTGTATCTGCGCTTGGGTCTAATCGGAAGGACAATTGATTCAGCAGCCTTCAGCAATGCCACCCAGTGGCAACCTTGCATATGCAGATGCGGCAAATGTGCCTGCTCTCAGTTGGGTTCCTGCGTTGGGCAATCTGCTGCTGAGCAGTCTGCACGCTTCTGCACTGGAAATGCTT